GGATGTGAGGCTTTCGGGAAGCCGAAGACAGGAAAGCATACCTGACATGCGATAATGAACATCCCCAAAACCTCCATACGTAGCAACTTAATCGAGAAGAACACACAAGAAACTTACAAGACGACCAAAGGAGAATACGAATCCATGACGTGAATGCTACAATGCCTCAAAAAATTAAAGGACCCGTGCGAGCGCGCACACCGGTGTCCCGCGGCCGTCCTTCAAAGGACTACCCACTGCTTGAAAGTCCTTCTCTGCAAAAAATGCATTTTTCCACCTTACGATTCTTTTATATGAAATGATGTAGACAGCCTATCATCGCTTGACAGCAAAGATGAGCTTTTACATGAACAACACGGGTGAGTAGTTCTGAGGTAGGAGGGTTGCTTGCTGCGCGATTGCAGCAAGCGAAATGAGGTCGGGGCGCCACACAGAAAAGGTAGAGTCTGCTGCCAGACGAAGGCGCCCGAAGCAATTTTAGCTGAGTGGGCGCGATCAGCTACACTTTATGACCCCAACACTACATGCGCTCTACGAGTGAAGCCGTTCGCGCCCTTGGATTCTGCGCCTTCATCTGGCGGATCTGAATACGGGATTAGAAAAAGTCGCTCAATTGAAGATGCATTCTGAAATCTTGAGATTTCTTCAAAAAAGGGACGAAGAATGGGCCAAAAGTGAGTCAACTCTCACGAAGAGTTGTCGTCACTAAGATGCCATTATAAGCGAATAAAGCTGGGAAGAGAGACGAAAATCCAAGTCATTACGGAAACGTGGTAAAAAGGTCTACTAAGTGGGGATGTGAGGCTTTCGGGAAGCCGAAGACAGGAAAGCATACCTGACATGCGATAATGAACATCCCCAAAACCTCCATACGTAGCAACTTAATCGAGAAGAACACACAAGAAACTTACAAGACGACCAAAGGAGAATACGAATCCATGACGTGAATGCTACAATGCCTCAAAAAATTAAAGGACCCGTGCGAGCGCGCACACCGGTGTCCCGCGGCCGTCCTTCAAAGGACTACCCACTGCTTGAAAGTCCTTCTCTGCAAAAAATGCATTTTTCCACCTTACGATTCTTTTATATGAAATGATCTTTTGGTCAAGTAAAGACATGTTTAATTCCTTGCTCAAGCGGTCAGTAAGCACTCGCTCGTACTCACCAGAACTTTACCGGCGAACGAAAGGTGAGTAGTGCGTACGGCAGCCTGCTCGTGGTCGAAAGAAAGCTTAGAATTTTGCCTGTAGGGTTGAGGAGATGTTTGATCGGGTAGTCTGTAAATTGTTTTCGCCCATTTCAGGCTCTGAAGAAGGCGAATTATTGCCGAAACGTTAGCCTAAGTAAATAAATTACCAATCTCGGTTGTGGCTAAACAGTCGAAGAGTAACAGAATCCTACAAAAATTCTAACTTGCTTACGTAAACATTATCCATATAAGACGTCTATATGCGTATTTTCTGTATTTTTTCCTTTGTTAAAATTCAAGAAAACGGAAGTTTTCGTACTTTTGGCAAAGTGATGCTGTGCTGTCCGCAGTCAAGTAATTGTATACTACAAACATGTAGATGTACAAGCGTAAATTTTCAGCTCTTTCAAAGCTTTAGTTCTCGAGAAATATCAAGCAGAGCTTCTCTTAGTCAGGGGGTCCAAGCTGAAATTCAAATTTTTCGAGAGAAGTTTTAAAAGAGCTGAAAATTTACGCTTGTACCTCTACAGGTTTGTAGTATACAACTACTTAAGTGGGGACAGCACAGTATCGCTTTGGCAAAAGTATGAAAATTTCCGTTTTCTTGAATTAACAAAGGAAAAAAATACAGAAAATACGCATGTAGACGTCTTATATGGATAGTGTTTATGTGAGCAAGTTAGAATTTTTGTAGGATTGTTTTGAACGTAGTTACAATTTTTCCCGATTTTTTAGACAGTCGGATCTTTTAAGGTTCTGGCTTGGAACTCGATGTGGATGAATGCTGCTGTAAAAGCAAGGTCGTCTTCTTGTAGAGCTTGCTTTGCTCTACAAGAAGACTAATGGTATTTTGCAACCTATTCAAAAATGAGAAGCATTTGACTTATTGCGGTTGGAAATTAAAACCTGCATTAATTTCCGGACAGCCTAATAATTACTCAGAAGCTATCTATCTTTTGACTAATCTCGTTAACCAAACCTCAAAGACGGCATTTCAAACGCAATTTTGAGTTTGGTCGCAAGAATTACTGAAGTGCAGCTAGCAAGAAAAAAAATTCTGTAGAAAATTTCTTACTAGAAATAGTCCATACATTCAACTACTAAGAGAAATAAACACTAGCGTTGAAAGACAAAGAAGAGGTAAAGTGGAACATTTGCGAAGTCATCTTATGCAGATTCGTAGTTTTTCGACTTAAACAAGCCCTTTGGGTTGTAGTGTAGTAAAAGGTTTCCCATGAGATAAGCATTTTGATTCACAGATTGCAGTGCAAGTCTAGCCAAAGTTTGCTTTCTGCAGGAAGCTCTATTTACGAGTTTGATTCAGTGCAGATTCGTAGAAGCCTTGAAGAGCGAAGGCCCGGGTATCGTATGATTTTTGGTTTTGGAAGTAATTCAGATGCAAGTCATTGATAATAAGTGCTTGGGAGGTGTAACGAAGTGGGAAAGAAAGTAATGTCCACATGACTGACATTGTAATGTTAGACCAGCCTAGTCAGATATCAACCACTTGGTGGGAATGAGTTTGCAAGAGTGAGTAAACAGGTTATGGCAAGCTGAAGAAAGGTTTGCTTAAGCATTTTTGTATAGAAATCGATTCGCGATTACGATATCTTATCACACCGCATGGACTTAGTCCATTTCATTCGCACAAAAAGCCATTTCGAAGGGACTTTCGTGGATATCATTCCTGGAAAACTCGCCTTATAGAGGTCCGGCCTGCTGATTACGAAAATCACATCTGCATAGCAGGAAAGCTTCATATCTCGGAGTTATGGTGTGAGTAGAATTTGAAACGACTGACTGATTTTTTTTTAGACTTCACCAGCTCTTCTTTTTTGGAAAGGAGTCTCCGGCTGCTTTTTGCGTACGACGCTCCACGAAAACAACACTATCAGATAGTGCTTCCTGAAGTCTTTTACATATGTGCGATTACTGAAAAAGCTGGATACGAAATATCAAGGACATGTTGTATATCAGAAAATTCGCCTTGATGAGCTATTATCGAATTTAGAGTATATTCTCCGAAGGAAGTCATGGCGCAACACAGTTTGCGTGATTCCGCATATTCCTGGAATGTCGCAGACTTTCGCGGAATTCCTGGAATTCGGCGACATTCAATGAAATTTTCCACTTTCTGAGCGGTTACCACAACCGAAAGGCAGGAGGATCGGGATGCAGTGGACTCTAACAGCTGTCTTGTTGAAGAATCGCTAGGCGATGAAACCGCGTGAACTCCGCCCTAGGTCTCCCTCGGGCAGAGTTCACGCGATTTGATCGTCGCGATTGATCGCGACAAGACAACTGTAAACAGTATCATCGTAAGCCGATCTTCTTGGATTTCGGTTGTGATAGTTAGTTACGATTAGTCGTGTTAGAAAAGTGTCACAACCGAAATGCAAGAAGATCGGCATGCAATGATGTTACCGTTGTCTTGTCGCGATCAATCGCGACGATCATATCGCGTGAACTCTGCCCCACGCCTCAAATAATGCTTCTTGGGATCTTCCTCCCACTAACTGATTAGTGCTCTACCTCCGAAACCAGCAGAAAAAAATCCAGTGTCATCCTATTTTTTAAGTATTTACCTGTATCCTCAACATGACATCCTCTACAAATCTACGAGTACAATTTATTCTTTTCTTTCTTTGATTATTTGGTGCTAGATTACTGTTGCTCTTGTAAGGCTTGTAGGGCCGGGTACACTTCACGCGATTTCAGTCGCGACGCGATTTGGCACTATTCCAACTGTCCATAACTCAGTGCAAGCACAGGCCAATCATCTGGTGCCGTACGCGGACTATGAACCTCTGTAACTCTGCACTGAACGCTGATTCCTAATCCGTTTTATCATCCCGAGCGCCTCTGCATGCCGAGTTATGAGCATTTTTGATGTGAAAAATAAAACGCAAAATCTAGGTAAAAACAAATTTTACGGTCTTTTCAGTGCTCAAATAGAGGTGTTAACTATGAGTGTTTTGGACAGAAAGTATCAAATGGAGTGCTCAATATAAGTGATAAATAAAATTGGGTCATTCGAGCAATGGCGAATGTTGTTCTAATTATGCATTCAATTCTTCAACTCTGTATAGCTCGACGTTCAGAGGGCGCTCGGCAGATGACGAAGACAGATTTGGAAACAGCTTCCGATGCTTTTCATAGTCGCATCAATTTCATGTGAAAAGGCCACATCGACCAAATGGACCTCCCTTGATGACAAGATAAATTCCGTACACAAGCGTTGACATTATCCTGTCTCCATCTTGGACCCCGGACAGACTTCACGCGATTTGATCGTCGCGACTGAATCGCGACGAGACAACTGTTGCAACATCATTCCATGCCGATCAATTTGCATTTCGGTTGTGATACTTTTCCAGCCCGAAATTTTTGAATGCGAAATGAAAATGAATGGAAATGTCGGCGATGAGTCGCTACGATCAAATCGCGTGAAGTCTGTCCGGGGCCTTAGAAATCAGGGGCGGTATGCATCAATCTCCCGTTTTGAAAGCGGGCGATCATTTTCAATAGAAAGTGATCGGCCGGCCGGGTTGGCACCCAACCCGTGTTGTATGATTTCTATTAAAAATGATCGCCCGCTTTCAAAACGGGAGATTGATGCATACCGCCCCAGATCGCATGATGGGCCATGATACCTTCAACTATTCACGACAGGCCGCATCTTCTAAAGAGATACACTTGAATGGACAGGAATGGAGTAGTGACACAACTTCAAAGGTTTGTGTTGATATTCCAATGACGTGTCTTTCTCATTTTTCATAAGTGATCACGCTACATGGTTATGCTTTGGCAGATGCTCACAACCTTCAGCTACTCAGTGTCTCTCTGTATGTGTCACGAGTGGAACCTTATTACTAAACTTCCGGAAGGCGTAAGTCCTTTTTATGAAACATTTCACCATCAAACGCAAATTTCAAAGCATCAGCCATGAATCAAACCAATATCTTTTATCAGAAAAAGATTCTAGGGGGCTGAAAATCTTGTCACTAAAGCTGCATTCATACTGATCCGGTAGTTCCGGCACAGTTGCATCACAGCGCTACTGTGTCAAAGCTCTGCTGCATGCCGCCGCCGCGGCATGCGGCATTGAGCGGCGGAGAATAGTAATTTTGACAGTTTCCAGCAGTTTTTAGTGTGCACCTCCTCTTGTGGTGAAAGAAGTTGCAAACTTGGACCGAGGTTTGAGAACGAACTCCATTTGTCCCGCGTTTTCGTAGAAGGCTTTATTTTTCTTTGCGCATTCTCCTCCATATATTTTTTGTTGCAAATCCTTTTTGCTTCTCAGACATTTACTGCGTCCCCCATATATTCAGCGGTCTTGATGCATGGCTATAACCCGTATGCGATACAGTAAGTTTCAACCCAGTTTAGGCGGAAATTGGACTGGCGGAAGTCCGCTTCGCAACGATTCGCGCCGCTTTGCAGTCTGCGTCTCTTCGTTCTAATTTATATCGGTTAGGTAGTGGCGGTGCGGACGCGCTGCTTCACCTAAATGTTTCGCCTACTTCGGGTTGAAAAAGACTGCATAGGGCAGTCGAAGAATCGTGACGATGGCGCAACGGCGCGCGTCATGCATGCTCTTCCGGCAACCGTAATTTATTAGTTGTTCATTTTCACTTGAATGAATTTCGGCTTACGTATGATAGCATCTAAACACTGGAGGTGATTGAGTAATTGAGCTGAGTGCTGAGATGTAGAGTGTAAGAATGTTTTTGTATGAGTGTTTCATGTCCTTAAGGGGCAAACACCGCAGTCAAATCCGTCGTCACAGTTTTAAAAAATGACCTATACATCCCCGCTGGGGAGGGAAGGAGAGGATCAGGGTCCGGCACGAGTCCGTTTCTATGCTTTTTGAAAACGAATTTCCCCTGACTTTCGGAAGTTTTACGAAGTCCTCTTTGACCTACCGACTTAGGAGAAAACAATAAAAAGTTATTACTCTGAAAGAAGAAACGTGAGATAAGATTGAAAATCTAGATTAGAGCTGATACTACGCATGCACAGGAGTTTGTCATTGGAGCGCGATATCTAACAAAGCCATTCATGAAGAAATTAATTCGAAAACAAAGGAAAGGCAATGATATGAAAATGTCTCCATGCTCAGGTACAGATTTTTGGCCGGGGAATCCGTCCATGTTAAGGAAATCCGAAACTTATGTGAAGTGACAGAAATATATGCTCCAGACGATCTCTGATCGTTTGGTGGCCGTCTGGAGACGGACTAATTTTGCAAAAGGTATTTCTTCACATAAGTTTCCACATCTTTTTACATAATTCTTCCGCAAATAATTTTCTATGTATACGTTTCAATTTTGGTGTTATATAATATTGTGTGCGCTGTAAACAAGCAATTTGTTTATTTTAGCCTTGCTTTTGAATCGCGCGCACTTTTCGCTATACACGATAGAGCATGCCAATTGTGTGATAACTTGTTCGAAAAGCTTGTGTTCGACTAAATGGCGCTTATTCTTGGTGATCGGCCCCGATTTCGCAAAAACGATAACCCCTTTGCTTTTTGCACCAAAAAAACGAAGTCCAGCCTGCTTCCAGACGATCTGTGCCGGGCGCTGGAGAGGATGCTTCATATCTCGCTACTCTACGTACTTCTTTCTCTATCTTGCTTATGAAGATTTTCATACATTTATACCTGCGCATAACGGATGCCAAGTTACTTCCATACAAGATTGGTTTTTGCCATTTTGTGCGATCTCCAGAGGATTCCGTGGGGATCACCTGTCATTTGTGATTCATCGTCCTGAGAAGTCAATTTAAACGTTGCAAAATTCTACTGAGGATAAACTACGGCGCTGCTAAGCGTGTTTTTGTCAGGAGAAATGGGATCTGAAGATTGTGAATTTTTCGGTAATCCCAGCTCACGAGCAGATCAGCAGTGCATCGAAGATTTCGTCTTGAGATTTACTTATCTCTACTATAAACTTGTTTAGAGTGCCGTAGTATATCCTCTGTACAAATTTGCAGCATTTTCATTGACTCCCAGGAAGATAAATGACTCTGCGAATGAGAGCTGATCCTGGGGATTCTCTGGGGATCCCCTGAGGATCACACAAAATGGCAAAAAACCAATCTTTTATAGCTTTAACCTGGCTCCATTTTGCGCAGGTACTCAGATAATCGCCAGAGGCAGGCGCTCCGCAAACTCGCGTTTTTCTGCAGGCGGTCAACAGAATCTCGGAGCGTGGCCAAAACTTCAGTGGGCGGAACTTCCTTGACGGTCGCATATTCTGCCAGCGGGCAGCAATACAGCATTCTTTGCAAGCGCTCTGCAAATAATATCTTTCAGCGAGCGCAGGCCAAATCTTCAGCAAGCGCTCGGATTCTGTTACACAGTTTCGGGCGTACGCCGAGAAAAGGTGAGACTCTATGTGGCAGAGGTGTCATCGGTGGTTTGGTTACCCAAGTTTGGGCAGCGGCAGTGCGGTCCCCCACAAAGGACCGCGCGGCCCACAACAATCGGGTATATTCCCGCGGAAAGTCCGCGAGAACGCGTTCACTGCGCCGCAACCAATCTATACAAAAACCGCGATCGTTCTGCAAGCATCCACCCAAAAACTGGCCAACATTCTCCCAATTTCTGCAAGAGGACCGCAAGAAATCAGCGAACTATTTTTCTGTGTCTGTCCAAAATTGTCAAAATTCGCATGGCCGCCTGCCCCCGGCGATTATCTGACGAGGGAAGGATACTTGATGACCGTGGCCTTTCGCAATGAGATGTATAACTGTAGGTGCGTCTTGGGACGCTGAATCTCAGTCTATGTTCTTTATCTGCTGTGCGACTCTTTGAACGAAGTTATGGACTTTTTTCCATATTGATTTTGCGAGAATCAGGCAGTCAAAATCGTCAGTATCCAGGCTTTTTAGACCCTGATGTATCGGTAACAGTTTTCCTGAGCTTAACGTAAAGCTTTATTTTATCTGTTCGCTCTTTTGTATTGCGTAAGCGATTGTAAGATATTGGTGAATCCTGCATCAAAAACAGTCCAAATTTTGGTGACAAGAAATGTTCATTACTTCTTTCGGAAGAGCGCACAGCAGATAATGAAAACAGATTTGGAATTAGCATTTCAAGATGCATTTAATGGTGTACGTTTCATTTCAATAGGCCACGGTCACCAAGTATCCTTTCCTTGTGACTATAAGGGTATGAGAACTTCATAAGCAAGCTAGAGAAGGAGGAAGAAAGATACTTAGGGCCGCATGCACTAACCTCCCCGCGGGGAGGGGATCGCAGCTTAAAAGAAAGCTTTATATTTCAAAACTCCAGATACCTGGATTTCACGTTGTGTACCTATCCGTAAGTATTCATACTACCCTTCACTATGAACATGTTGAACAGGAGCGAGAAGCTGTACAAACTGCATTTTTCAGCTTTTGTATGATCCCTGATGATCCCCGGCGCTTTTCTTTGAAATCATTTTTCTTTCTCCGATGTTAACGAAAAACCTCCAAAGTTGTGCAAATTATCTAAACCGACAGTGCTAAGCATGTTGCTGATAAGAACAAATGATGTTTTGAAGTCATGAAATTTTCGATGATCCACAGGTCGAAATTTGAGGTTTACCGGAAAATTCGACTTTTTAAAAACTCATTTGTTCTCATCAGCAACATGCTTAGCACTGTTGTGTCAGATGTTCAGTACGACTTTGGAAGGTTTTCGTTAACTTCGGAGTAAAAAAAATGACTTTAAAGAAAAGCGCCGGGGATCATCAGGGATCATACAAAAGCTGAAAAATGCAGTTTGTACAGCTTCTCGCTCCTGTTCAACATGTTCATAGTGAAGGGTAGTATGAATACTTACGGATAGGTACACAACGTGAAATCCAGATATCTGGAGCTTCAGAATATGAAGCTTTCTTTTAAGCTGCGATCCCCTCCCCGCGGGGAGGTTAGTGCATGCGGCCCTTAGAGTAGCGAGATATGACGCATTCCCTCTCAAATCCCCTCCCCTCCCCAGCGGGATGTACTTGCATACGGGCCTAATAATCATTTCATTTCGTTTATTACATAGGATTTCCTATGCTTTGATCATCAATAGACAAGTATTACAAAGAAAACTCGTTAGCAAACACAACACAAAAAAACAAGGAGAGTGACAGATTTTTAATGTGAAAGCAAATAGTCCTTCAGAAGCATCTTAAACTGCGAAAGCTTCACAGGGAGAATTCTTTTTCTCATCAATCTATCCAGATCACTATTTGTTCACAAAGAATCTCCTCCTCACATTCCTCCTTGCTCTAGGTATGACTATCTTTCTTAAACTTCCCCTAGTTTTAAAACACCTAGCCTTAAAAAGGAGAACGGGTCGAGATGATAATCTTTGAATATAATCTTGTGGGCTCTGGTAAGATCGAACATCCTTCCATGGCTAAATTGTATAACCCGAGTTCCTTGTTTCTGAGCGTCCCCTTGGGTAATTGTCCATACCGAAAGACTTTAGTCCGTATAAGCAATGTTTCTTGTAAAATTATTCTGTACTTCTCAAGCACTCGAATTGAGCTGGTTTTTGTCGGGTTGAAAACTACATTACCATATTCCAGTAACGGCCTGATATAAGTTTTATAAGCCCTAATCAGAAGGCATGTGTCACTAGTTGATAATGCTTTGAATAAGTTATATACAGCCGGATTATCTCTAGCAGCAACTGCTTCTCAATGCTTATCGAAATCAAGGTTGCTGTTGACCAGAACCCTAGGTCTCTTACTTCATTGACATAGTCAAGGCCCTCTCCTTCAGTTTGGTATCGATAATCTGAGTCCGTAGTACCAATGTGGAGTACCTTAGTTTTTTTCCCGAGATATAGATAAATTCCAATCTACCGACCATTCAGATAATCGTCGGGGACAGGCGGTCCGC